GCTCACATGGATGATGCCACATCTTCTGAAGGGGCTGATAGATGGGTGGGCAGGAGAAGGGTAGCTGCTGCTACTGCTGCTGCCTTTTAATGAGCCTCTTGACTAATTACACTTTGTTGATTCTTGGTATTTTGCAGCAGCATCCACGTGCCGCAAGGAGCAGGTGCGAGAGTACTACACGGAGAACGACTGCCGCTCCCGGCAGCCGCTGAAGTACGCCAAGTGCGTGGGAGGCTGCGGCAATCAGTGCTGTGCGGCCAAGATTGTGAGGCGCCGCAAGGTGAGTGCACACATGAATGGATAGATAGATGGATGGATGTTTGATTAATGGTAACTTTTCCCTCCCCCACCCCCTCCTTTCTGTTCGATAGGTGCGCATGGTGTGCAGCAACAACCGCAAGTACATCAAGAACTTGGATATTGTCCGCAAGTGCGGATGCACCAAGAAATGCTACTGACTGAAAGATGCGACTACCCAATTGCTCGAACGGAGCAATAGCAGCTTAGATGTTAGTTTAGGAACAGGTTTAAATTTAACTTATAGTAGTAGTAGTAATAGTACCGATAGTCTTAGCTTTAGCCCTAGGGATACCACGAAACTGGGGGCCGAGAGTGTTGAGAAGAGAGAGCAGGCGGAGGCGGAGGCGGAGGCTGAAGCAGAGGAAGCGGCTGTGGGCCATGCTGATGCGGGGGATAGCGAGGACTATCCCACGGAGCAGACAGATCGCATGCAGGCAGATCTCTACGATGATGCAGACGACGACGATGATGATGATGATGATGACGATGGTCTGGACGATGATGATGATTTTCCAGGTGAAGATGGAGAGGATGAGCGGGAGCGGGAGCCCGAGTCGCTGCCCGACCCCAAGGGTCTGGTGGGCGTCAAGGATGAAGAGGAGGATATGGGCTATGACGAGGACGATGAGAGAATAGCCCTCGAGCGTCCTCGCACAGTCAGGCCACGGGCGGACGAAGAGCAGTTTGTCAATGAAGAGGGCAGTGGATTCGGTCTCAACGGCTTCCAGTCGCGTTTCCGGCCAAGCAGCAGCAGTGGCAGCAGTGGCAGTGCCAGCTACCGCCAAAATCAGCTAGAGAACATCCGCAAGAAGCTGCTGACGGAGAGCCAGTCCGCTGCGGCGGTGGCGGTGGCCGTGGCCGTGCCGAGCACTGCGATCGATCTGCGCGAGAGCAGTGGCCATTTTGCTAACGATGATGAGGATGGCGAGGATAACGATGACGGCGTTGATGACGAGTTCGCCGACACAGGCGACGGTGCTGGCTTCTTTGGTGCTGGCTCGCAGCAGCAGCAGCAGCATCAGCAGCGGAAGAGTGGCAGCCACTACTACCGCAAGAACGGCAACGATGCCATCAAGATCATCTCGACGCCGCTGGGCAAGGTGAGCATCGTCTACCAGCAGACGGATAAGGATCAGGAGCAGGACAAGGACCAGCAGCAGAAGCAGCAGCAGCAGCAACAGAAGAAGCCAGCGCTCACCGACTTCGATGCCTTGTCGCCCGACCCAGAGAGCAGTCATCGTTTTCCGTCGCCACATCCGAAGATTACGCCCGTTCTAACACCCGATGGCAAGGTGGCTCTGCTCTACCGCGGAGACTCGGAGAGCTCCAAGTACGAGCCCATACGCAATCTGACCCACAAGTTCGCCGGCACGCCGTCGAAGGAGCCCTCGAGGACCACCCTGGACAGCGCAGCCGACGACTCCTCCTCCTCGGACGATTCCGTGTACACGGACAGCGAGGACAGCGAGGACCATGGGGATGGCAAGTCGGAGGCCGCTGCGGCCACCACGCCAAAGCCGGTCCAGCCAGAGATTATGGAGCCTCCGGCAAATGTCCAGCCTGGCGGATCCTTCATCATTCGGCCCACCTCCGACTCGCTGCTGCCGATGATCAACCGGCCGCTGTCCGAGGTGCTGGGCATCAAGAAGAACCAGTTCCAGGAGACGCGAGTGCGCGACCAGTTGCCCACTCTGCCGACGGAGGCGACGCCCCGCTCCCTGTTGGCCCAGCCAGGCGGAGCTGGCGGCGAAACGTCGCGCCACTTCCTCACCAAGGTGAATCTGGCCGAGTACCCCACCTCCGGGCGGACGCTGCAGCAGCCGCTGCTTCCGTTCAACCGCGACTTCGACTTCAGCAGGGATAACACCATGCTGGACGAGCGGTCCCGCATTCGTGAGCTGGAGAGGCAGCGCGAACGGGAGCGGGAGCACAACGAGGCTACCAGCAAGGGCGGCGGTGGGGCCACGGAGGCACACACGATAGCCAACGAGCAGCTGCTGTCCAAGACGGAGGTCATCAATCTGGCCATTGTGCCGCAGTTCGACGAGGATATGGAGCAGCTGCAGCGCCTGCACGAGAACGGAGGCGGCGGCCGGCGACACCACAGGGCGCGCCACCGCCACAAGCAGACGGAGGAGGAGCTGTCCGGCATCCATTGCGTCATGCAGGTCATGATGGGCATTGCGGCCGTCTCGACGGTCTTCGGGATGCTGGGCACCTTCTTCAAGCAGCGCATTCTCGATCAGCTGCGGATGATGCACTGGTAGTACAACAAAGGGTGTTCGATGTTCGGTGTCGAATGCCCCCATCACCCCGTCCCCCCCATTACCTACGCAACCTCCCTGTCATCGTTATCGTCATCGTCATCGCCATCGTCATCGTCATCGTTGTCGTTGTCCTTTGCCACTCAATCGACTTCCGCTACTACTAGGATACGAGGCATTCTCCTTCTACTACTACTACTACTGCTCCTTCAGCATATGTATACTCACAGATATATATACTCGAACCATATGCCATATATACACGTGCCCCTATATATATATACATATATACATCAGCTAATCACATAATCTACATACATACACATATGGAGCAGCGGCATCAATTTGCTTTCTTCCCCTTCCGCTTCTTCTTTTTTATGCGAGTATCTACTATGTAATCCTTCGGCGATGTATCCAGCGATTCCAGCATGGAACTTCCCATGCTTATCGGTTGCTGGCATATCCTCGCCACATACATACCTACATATATTCTATATATATTGATATATAAATTTACTAGTGCAAGCTACCCAGGCGATGTGCATAATAACTGAATAACTAACGCGATTATATGGCGATCTAACGATCCGGATATCCAGTCTATGTATGTATGTAAATGAAACGCAACTGTAGCCCCTGCCATGTCCATGTCCAAGTCCAAGTCCATGTCCGTTTCCGCTTCCGTTTCAGATAGAAATTTACTTACCTTCCCCCCGCCAATTCATTTCGAAAGGTAAATTCTCTTTCTTTCGCACAATTTAGTATGTGCTTCCTACCCCCCAACCCCGTAAAATCCAAACCAAACCTTTACGAGCTTTAAGCAAGTCATTGCATGTGCCACGCCCCTGCCTGCGCCCATCTGAAACATTCCCCTTCCGCCAAGTCATCAGATCCTCCCCCTCCAAATCGAATACACACTGAAATTGGATGTAGTACAGAACAGATTCCTCTTGTAGATAGAAAACGAAACAGTTGTTGAAAGATAGCCAGAGATGGCAAATCGAATGATAAAGCGATCAATGATAAAACTTAACGAAACAAACAAAGGAAAACACCGTAAAATCGCACACAAGCACACACACACAATTAGAAAATGCAACCAACGGTCGTTTTAAACGCACCATGCAAACAAAAACAAAAACAGTCTCAAAGAAACGAGTAGGCAAACGATAATAAGTGCATGTAAACGGAACCTTCTTAAGTTTAAGTTGCTCAAATGAAATTAAATGAAAGTATTTTGATAGAACAGAACGAACAACCAGGAAACAAAGAATCGAATGAGAGAATCGAAAAGAAATGAAAATGAAAACGTAACGAAACGAAACAACAAATTGCCCCCAAAAAACGTGTAACGAATTTCAAGCAAATTGTTGCAGAGTGTTTTGTCCTAGAATTAGACATAATTAATAATTATCGTAACTAAACTAAACTAAACCTGTGTGCAAACGAAGCGTAACTAATATTACAATTAACATAAACAAATATCCTAAACATAATTCGGATAACAACATCTAAGCTGGGTAGTCGCATGTAAATCTCTAACAATTAACAACCTAAGTTAGCCCTAAAGAACGAAACAAAAAATCGAATTGCATTTAAAGAAACCTATAAATATATATACATACATATATATATATATATTGATATAATAATAATAATTTATACTAATCTATCTATATGCTTATATGTATGCTGTATGTATGTATGACTCTATATGTATATGTAAAATGTTTTTGACTATTTTTCACTATTTATATCCATATATATTATATATGCGTATATACTACGATACATGATTATGTGTAATAGCCCCTTTTGGTCATTTTAGTTATCTTTTATATATATTTAATACCTGTCTTTTAATCTGTATCTGTGCTGTATTGTATGTATTATTTTTATGAATTATTCACGTATAATTATGCACACTGCACTAATTATACGCATACGATATGTATAACCTATTGACAAATATATATATACATACATATATATTATGTGTAATAGCTGTTGCTAAACCAAGTTTAAATATCAGTTCTTATTATTTACCCTTATCTGACCGCCGCCTTTCGCCGGTTCGCAGCCGAAACTAAGAATTCAGATATCTCGGACTGGCAATGGTGCAAAATCAGCAAATATGGCTTTTATTTCTGTGTGTAATATTTATTTCGTAATAAAAGTGACAAGCGAAAATGTTCCAAACGCAACGGTCTTTTAATACACCCAAATCAAACAGTATGTATAGAACTAATTAATTCTGGCCACTCAAATTATAGCGGACTTGCGTAAAATATATTGACATACTGGATCCTCCCGATACTGGACAAGCCCCAATGTTTTGGCTGAGCACGCTCGGAAATATTCTCCCGATTACGCGAATATTTTCTCCAGTCATATATACTGTTATTTGTGGTCCGATTCGCTGGGAGGTTGTGTAAATAAATCGCGCATTTTATTATCTTTTAATCTTGTGTTGAAATATATTTAAGCATTCACATATAATTAGGATTTAGTTTTTAAATGTTATATTCTAATCGAAACAGGAAGAACAAATCAAGAAATGAAACGCAACGGGACATAAATTCAACGATAGTTCATGAAACTCGATCTGAAATGATAGAGGATATTTGTTGGGTGCATCGTTAGGGAAACGCTGATCCTATTACTCACCCGCCAAAAGCTGGCTTCTGGGCATTGGGGTTGCCAGTCTGGGCCAGGTTGCCAAAGGACAAGCCAGATTCCTGTCCACCCAAGGTGTCAAAGATGTTGCCTCCGGCCGGTTTCGCAGGTGCTCCAAAGGCTGGGGGTGCGGCCACGTTCGGGCTGGCTCCAAAGCCACCAAATCCCTTGGGACTGCCGAATGTTGCGCCACCCCCAAAGGTGGGACTGGCCCCGAAGGCCGGAGAGCCACCAAATACGGGCTTCGCTCCGAATCCACCCGGAGAAGGCTGCTGGGGCGTCTGGGGGGATCCAAAGCCGGATTGGGCCACTGACGATCCAGCGCCCTGAGCAAAGCCACTGCCAAAACCTCCAGAAGCAGGAGCAGCCTGGGAGAATGAACCAAATCCAGTGCTGTTGCCACCGCCAAAGATTGACCCACCAGAAGCAGGCGAAGAGCTGGGCGTCGTCGGTCCCCCAAAAATAGATCCGCCTCCACCAAAAGCTGAGGGCTGCGGCTGTTGGCTGGAGCCGACCGGATTTGCGAATATATTACCGCCTGCCACTGGGGACGCAGCTTCTGCAGCCGGCTGGCCAAAGACATTCTGACCGAAAATGGATGTACTTTCTGCAGCGGCTGCATTGACAGGACTTTGCGCATTGGTTCCACCAAAAATGGAGGTCGATCCAAATGAAGAACCGGATGAACCTCCAAAAATAGATGCACCACCGCTTGCTCCTGCAGCCGGCTGCCCGAATACACTGGGCTTGTTGGCCTGGCTAAAGATGTTGCCCCCAGAGGCGGCTGTCCCCGATGTAGGGCTTCCAAAAGGCGCCGGATTGCTGATTGCTGCTGCAGCAAAGAGGCCACTTGGTGGTGCAGCGGCTGTAGCAGGAGTGGGATTGGGTCCAGGTGAGCTTCCGAACACGCTGGCCTCGGGCTTGGCCACATTTCCGAAAAGGTTCGTGGAGGGTGCAGCTGTAGCCGTTGTCGACGCCTGGAATGGATTGCTGGCTACTGGTGCTGCGGTTGTTGCCGGTGCTGCTGCCGAAAAAGATCCTCCAAATACCGAAGACGATGCATTGCTAACGGTGGTGGCACTGGAGCTGCTGGCAGTCACGGCAGCGGCTGGAGCGGTGCCTAGGCTGCTGAATGCATTGGAGAACGAGAATGCACTGCCTGGCACGGCTGTGCTTGAGGTCACAGCCGCTGGTGCAGCAGCTGGATTCGTGTTCGGAGGAACCGCTACCACTACTGGCGCGGCAGATACCGTTGTGGGTGCGGGTGCGGGTGTGGGTGCAGTTGCAGCAGCCACAGTTGCAGTTGAACTGGTTGATGGCGGAGCAGTCGAACCAGGTGGGGCAGCTGGTGCACCTGTTACGGTTGTGGTGCTCACTGGCTCAGGTTTGGCCACAGTTGGGGCTGCAGCTGCCGGTGTTTCTGTTGCTGTTGTCACTGGAGTGATGGTCGCAAATAATCCCTTTGGCACATCTCCACCGCGTGCCCCAAATGAAAAGCCACTTTCAAAGATATTTCCAGGCTGCCCAGAAGCTGTTTTCAGAGGGAATCAGAATTAGTTTTGAAGTAATCCACAACTCCAAATGCTCACTCACCTCCGGAAGGTTCTTTGGTTTGTGGCTTACAAATATTGACAGATCCGAAGAGCCCGCCAAGGGAATCAGAGCTGCTGGGGGCGGTACTGGTCACTCCGCTGTTGCTTGTTGGCATGGGAGGAGCGGCAGCCAGAGTGGCAGCGGATGTGGCCGTGGGCTTGGTGGTGGTGCTGCTGCTCACAGCTGTGTCGATTTCGTTGGGCTTCGTTGCAGCTGCAGCGAACAAACCACGGGGAACGGCAGAAGGTGATGATGTTACTGCAGCATTGGTGGGATCAGGCTTTGCCACACCGCCAAAACCCAGGGACGAGCCCAGTCCTCCGAAGCTAAATGCGGAGCTGGAAGCCCCAGTTCCTCCGAATCCTGTGAAGGAGAACGACTTGCCAGCTGTCTCCGCTTTTGGGGTTTCCGGCGCCTTCGCTGGCTCGCCCTCACCAGCAAATGGTGTAGTTTCCTTCGCTAGCGCATCCTGCGCCTTTGTTGGCTCAGGAGTAGACTTCGCTGTGGCCTCCTTACCAGACCCAAAACCTGCAAAGAGGGACGGCTTGGCCCCACTTGATGTCTCCCCTGCTGGAAGTCCTCCAAACGCAAGACCGCCTCCTACCGGCCCAAAGCTCGGGCCGGATCCACTGCTTAGACCACCGAACATGGACAGAGCGGGCTTGGGAGCCTCTCCGGAGCTTACCGTGGTCGTTGTCGTGGTCACACTCGAAGTCTTTACAAACGGACTGCTCTGGCTGAAGGCGAATGGCGTGGCGATGGGTGCAGCACTGATGGCCGGGATGCTGACAGCGGGCTTCGACGCTGTTGGTTTTGGTAGCTGAGGCGCAACAGGAACTGGGGCTGGGGCTGGGACTGGTGCGGGTGCGGGTGCTGCCGCCGCCTGGGTGGCCTTGTTGGCAGTAGTCGCCTTGGCGGCGGCCTTTTTGACCAAATCTGCCTTGCGCTTGGTCTCGAGTATAACCTCCGACTTGAGACCCACACGATCTGGACGCTGGGGACTAATGATGGTGACCTTTTGCAGCTGCACCACGTTTCGTATCTGACGCAGCTTGTGCTGTGTGAGCTTGGCAGCATTCGAGTCGACGACCTGGCTAAGACTCATCGAGAGAATCGAGTCAGCCAACGTTTCCACACTGAAAGCAGAAGCAATGGTCAGTATTTAGCTGATTCAGGTGGTGGGGTGGTACTAACGCCTCATTGGTGCGAGTGCGACTCTTGTCCTGGTCGAGGAGAGCCGCCTGGAGCAGGCCACGCTCCTTAAGCTTGGCCTTGATGCGGTTCTGCATGATCCTCTGGTCGGAGGCAAGGTTCTGGAGGCGCGACAGCTGCTGGTAGATCCCTTCCAGACACGGTATATGCATGCTCGACTTGGACTTGCGTCGCAACACATCCTGAAATTCCTCCCACTGCATATCCACTTGCTGCTGGACCAGACGCAGCTGTGCCTCGTTGGCCGCCACATAGCTCTGGAGTCGAGCTACCATGCGGCGTCCAGCCGGATCATAGGAACTCGAGTTCATCAGCCGTGTGATGCTATCGAGATACAACATTGTAACGCATTGCCGCATGATCCCCAACTATTGCTACTCACTCGGGCTTCCTGTATACCTCCAGCTTGCCACGGCATTCAGCCACTATGGCGTAGGCCTCATGCAGACCCTGGCGCAGTCCTTGCACATCCAACTCGAACTCCACATCCTTGGCCTGCTCGTTCAACTCCTCGAGGTCGTCCAAGCGCTTGGCATACTTTTTGAGGGACGAGGGAGCTGCAATCTGTGCAAGAGACACCACACCAGTGAGAGATTGTAGGGGAAATAATAGGATTGCTTACGGTGCTGAGCAGCTCCGTGGTGAGTGCCTTCTGCTGCTGAATGTCCTGGTTGAAGGCTTCGATCTGTAAGGCTATCATGTCCCTGACGATGGGCTCTGTGTTATCCAGCGACTGGCAGGACGGAACGGACAAAGGAGCCGCTGCCGCTGGCTGCTTCGTGGCCACTGGCGTAAATGTGTGCCCAACTGTGTAGAGGGGCTTGTTGATGGGCGCAGCAGACGGTGGCACAGAGACGGTACTGGCCACACTCGGCATTGCGTTGGGTTTACCCAAAGCCTGAACACCAAACGCGGTCGCGGCTGAGCTTGGCACAGAGAATATCGATCTTGAAGCTGCAGTCGTCATGGGCGCACCAAAGCCACCGAATCCCGAAGCAGGGCTGGCTACTGTCGCGGCTGGAGCAGCAATTGAAGCAACTCCAAAAGGAGAAACACCAAATGGAGCACTCGCTGCGGGTGCTGCGAAGCCGGAGAACAGCGAGGGTGGCTTGTCCTTGGCAGGAGCTGGAGTAGATGTCACCGTGTTCGGTGAGAAGGCAAAGGACATGTCCGTGGGAGCGGACTGAGTGGGCTCCGGGTCTGGCGGTGGTGTAGCCGCCTCCTCCTCACTGGCAGCTGGCAGCAGCGTGTCCAGCGGGCGGAACAGTCCTGAACTGTCAAACACTGGCGGAGGCGGGGAGCACAAAGAGGGGGCTGCTGGGAGCAGATTCAGGAAGTTGAAGGACAGAAGGGTGCCATCCGTGCCCAGGACATGCACCATGGGGAAAGTGGGAAGCTTCTGCTCGTTGATTATCAGTTGGTGCGTGGAGGAAGTGTCGTAGACAGACCCGAGGGGGAAGGTTTCCTCTTGGGTGCCATCACTCAGCGGCAGTTCGATCCTCGCCTCATCCAGCAGGGTAAACTGCTGCCAGACGGGGGTGTCTCCAGCCTCGAAGGTGCCCATTATACCCACTTCGACGCCATTGGCCGAGGTCACCAGAAGCAAGTTCCACTGGGCGACATGGTTGAAGAAGAACTGATGATTCCGCGGCCCGTTGAGGCTGTAGCAGATGTCGTAGTAGTTGATATAGCTGGGCGACCCCCCCTTGGGGGCGTTCAAGATGTACAGGGCGGGACTGCAGTCCTCGCCATGCTGCAGGAAGACCACTGCGAACTGGTACGTCGATAGCCACTGAATGGCGATGGTGTCGAACGGAGCATCGTGGATGTTGGGTGGACACACCAATGTCTTGGCTGGTGTGAGATCCGGCTTGAACTGCTGTATCCTGCCACCGGGGAAGCCCAGGACAATCTGCTTTCCCTTGGGCGACCAGCAGCCGCACTTCACCTGCTGACTCTGGTCCAGTGAATGCATCTCAAAGGTGTCGCCCTCCTTCAGGGTGTACATGCCGAGGGCACCGTTGCTCAGCACTACGGCCAGACTGCCGGGCAAGACCGGATTCCACAGCAGCTGCACGGCATAGATGTAGTCCTCGCTGGCCAGGCGAATGCTGTACACCAGCCTCACATCCGCAGCCAGGAACGTCTGCACCGCGTATATGTTGAGCAGGCTAGTGCCATTCTGTGTGAAGTTGACCGCCAGCAGAGTGCCATCGGCACTGCACGAGATGTAGTTGGGCACGCTGGGCAGGGGCACACTCCTAGCCTGCGGCTGCTTGCCGAGCGACTTGCTCGCATTGGCCAAATCCTCGAGCATGATCACTGCAGGGATTGGCAGATTAGTTGAGTGCAATGGGTGGCTGTATAAGCGCTAGTCCGTACATACCCTTAAGTTCCGGCTGCGAGGGGTTGCCGGCAAAGAGCAAGCCGCGGCTGCAGGAAATCGCCAGAAGATTCACATTGCTGCGGGGCTCGCCGCATTTTTTGAACGCCGCATATTTGTTATGCACTTTAAATTGAAAGTCCTGCAAGGAAGCGAATCAAAACCATGCAGGGCCACCTACTGGCTGAACCTCTTACCTGTGTATCCTTACAGGCAGGAGCACTTAGCGCCATTTTTGTATATTTTATAAAATTTAAAGAAAGAACAAGTTTGATTATTTCGTGCGATGGTCAAAAGTAGTTACGGTCACACTGAAGGTCAACTCGAAGTTATCGAACTAGTTCCACAATAGAACTATTTAAGCCACAGTGGCCTCCAGTTAATTATTTTAATTAATTATATTTATATTTATCCTTAATACAAATTAAAATAAAGGACTACTGCTACTACTACTACTACTATGTTTAAGTTCCCTAGCTTGTTCTTGTTCGTCTGTCTCTATCCAAGAAAATTTAAGGGAACTTTTTTTTACCTTCTTTGCATAAACTCTTTTTTACAAGTAACCCAATAAAAGAAGTCCCTAAAATTAGCCAATCTTGCAGAAAATTGATACATCAATCGGACAAAAGTACGGTTCAGTGGTGAGAGTTCTAGCTTGCTTGTAATATTAAACCGAATAGAAAAATTGAGGAATATGATTTTTCTTGGTACATATTGTATATATATATATATAATATACTGAAAATAAGAAGGTATATTTCTGTGGGTCCAACGGTATATTTAATCCACAAATCCTTGGTCACACTGCTAGCTTGTTGTTGTTCTGTCTCTGTCCAGCGCTCAAGCGTTTTTTGTGTTAAACAAAAGCATTATTGTTCGCGCGGGCAATGCAGCAAAAATCAGTGCACAAAAAAGCAGGAATTTTGAGCGAGTAATGCACAAAAAAATGTAGTCTAGTTGAGTAACAGCCGCAGTACGAAGTGGAGACGTGCAACACGGTGCTAAATTGCGTTGTAGAGGAGTCCTCCTTCGAATCTCAGCAAACTCCACTTGGAGAGTCACAAAATCGAATTTTTGTAAAGCTTTTGTTTAAAATTTGTTAGTATTGCAGTTAAAAATTAAAAATATAAAAAAAAATTCAAGATAAGTGTAAGAAAGAGTGCCACAAAAAAACGGTGGGTAAGGAAAAGGAGATGAGAAGAAGGAGAAAAGAAATGCGCGTAATTACGATTGACTTTTCTCTTATAGAACAAAGGACGTACACACATACGTGCGCGGAGACAACCCAAACAAAGCCTTCAAGATGATCAGCAGCTTGATTTCACGACTTCTAATGTGAGTATACAAACACTTGCACAAACATCCACATTCGGAGAACGAGTGAGTGGTGCTGACCCCCAAAACAAAGTTGGTCGAAGCTTGGCCTTGCGCCCCAGCCGCAACGAAAGTCATTTTGTGCTTCCTAATTGTGGAGGCGTCACGCTTCTGGTCTGTGATTTGCTCGAGCGTTGGCGCGCGCTGGTGGAGAAGTACCGTTCCATGCGTACTCTCGTGTGCGTGTGTGTGTAACCCTCAATTGAACTGCACCCAAATATGGTTGCGTTGCCACATGGGGCCGACGCACTCGCCTTGCCCAATATGGTGCGACCCCGAACGAGGCCACACTCAAGTCGTCTGCCTTCTGTCCGCAACTCCATGCAAAACTATTGTCAGTATTTATAGAGTGCCGAGTTCTAATCAACAATTGCACGGTCTGGGTCTGGGACTTCAATAGGGGATATCGTGATCCCTGGTCGATCTTCCGCATAAACGAGCTGCTGCTGCTGTGGCGTCTGCTGTTGCTGTCTCTCAGCGAGACTAACAATATGTGCCGAGCGTTCGTTTATTAATAGACCCCCCGCCTGAGCATTAGACGGGCTTGCACTGTGCTCTCTGCCTGCCTTGGCCAGTAGTCTGTGCTCGGCATTCTAGCCGCTAGCAACCGCAACGCAAGGCATTTTCGGGTGCGGGCAATGCATCGCCATCGCCATGAGCCGGCCATTCTATCAGCAGGAGCCGCTGGCGCAGCGGCCGATCTTCTATCAGCGGCCAGTTAATATTAAACGCCTGCGTCACCCGGCAGGAAGCGTCTATGGACGCAGCTACTCGCTGGAGGAGCCGGAAGACCAGCAGCAGCAGCAGCACGAGAATGTAGTCCCCGTTTATCCAAAGTTCATTTATGCCAACCAGCGGCACCCGAATCAGCTGCCGTTGTACCAGCTAGGGGACTCTCTTAGCTCTTTGGACAGTGATTTCGTGGACGACTACAATGGTCCCTACATTGTCGAGCAGCCCGTGCCACCGCCCACTCCCAAAGTGGTGCAGAATCTGAACGCACTGGGCAGGCTCCTAGATTTGCTGCAGCGCTGGCCATTGCCTTGTCTATCCTTCAACACGGCCTGCATCTGTTCGCTCATCATTATATTTTTAGCGCCGCGGACTTGTGCACAGAGTTTATTGTTTCCCGCTTTCAGATTGTTCTTCGGCACCCTATACCCGGCCTATGCCTCGTATAAGGCGGTGCGCACCAAGAACGTGAAGGAATACGTGAGTAGAAAGAACAAACATAGATCCTGTCCGCGCATGGGAACATTATAATACGAGTACATGTGTCTACTTATAGGTTAAATGGATGATGTACTGGATTGTCTTTGCATTTTTCACCTGCATTGAAACATTCACAGACATCTTTATATCCTGGTTCCCATTCTACTATGAGGTCAAGGTGGTCCTGGTATTCTGGCTGCTATCGCCAGCCACAAAGGGCAGTTCCACACTGTATCGCAAGTTTGTGCATCCCATGTTGACGCGCCACGAACAGGTGTGATATATATTCTCATATAGCTATATAACACTCTCTTTATATTACGGATACGCTTCTCTCTCTTTGTGTAGGAAATCGACGAGTATTTGACTCAGGCCACGGAGCGGGGATATTCGGCAGTGCTACAGCTGGGCTCCAAGGGAGTCAACTATGCCACAAATGTCATCATGCAGACGGCCATAAAGGTAATCCTCACACCCATCGCCCGCCACCACACGTCCCTACAATCAGCCACAAACAACCCACACTAATCCACACTCTACACTCCACACTCACTCCCTTGCTCGCTCGCCACACAATTCATTTCGCCATTTTCAATTGCCTCCAGCGTCGTTGCATAAAATGAGCAGCAAAACAGAGCATCGCCTCCGTCTCCGCAGCATCTTTTGAACGTTCTAAATAGATATATAATTTTGCGCAATGCTCTCGCGCGCTCATCTTGATCATCGCAAGCAGCAGACCCAGTAGCATCAGCAGTGGCATCATCAACATCATTCAGCATCATCATCATCATCATCATGAGAGCTCGCTCGCGTTCTCTTATCTTCACAATTTACTTTTAATATTATTTAGTTTAAACAAATAGAATTGAATGCTCTTTGTGCCATTTGCGTGTTTGTTTCGATTTAGTTTTTAGTTTGTTGTTCTCTTTTTGTGCAGCTGAATCACTATATAGTACATTACATTGCATACATATACACGATACTCGATAGGAGATAGCAGATATAAATGAACATGTTGAAATAATGTAATAAAAACAAAAAAATGAACAAACTCATGCCAGATCAGGGAGCAGCTGTACGTATACCAGTGCGAGTACGTACCTATAGCCAAGGCACATTGTTGGCCAGCTCGGCATAAACACTTGAAATGGGGGCCAAGACACTACGCTCGAGACGCTACATTAGTTGCGGAACGGAGCGACCAGCGCACTGAAAGATAATGTGTGTTTGGTACTAAAAGATATTTAGATGATTTCTGTATGTTGATGTAGGTCAAAGAGTTAATGAAAGTTAAATGAGAAAGAATGAGTATGGGATGAGTATTTGTCGGTTGAGTAGGAAATTTCCTTATTGATTTGTCATGTCCAAATTAGTCATCATATTACTGGAAACCCTTGTTCAGGTCTTTGTCCGAAAGCACTACAAAGAAATGCGAAATTTCCTTTATGCAATGGCACTCCTCGCCGCTAGATTTATATTCCACTGTGATATCTTTCCCGTGTTCCCCCCCTCAGTTGCATCATTTCCATTCCAATTCCGAGTCTCCTCTAGGGTAGGGCATAAAAATAGATATGTGGGGAATGCCATGGGGACAGTTCTGGCCCAGAGTGTGTTGGTGTGTCGTTCGTTGTGTGTGTGTGTGTGCCTCAGCTGCAATTCATTCCAATTAAAGACTCTTTCGTTTGCCTCTTTTTGATTAACTCTTTGGTTTTTTTACACTTATATTTCTTTGCATTTAACCCACCAAACCAAACCGAATCTCACCCAACCACCTGCACCTGCCCTGCCTGCCTGCTACTAATCCGCTAACCGCTGCCAGACCTTTGCGCTGACAACACCGGCTCCAGGCCGCAGCCTGCAAAACTCACAGTCGGCCGGCGATCTGTCTGCGGTCAGGAGGAATCAGGACATGATGGATGGCTTGGACGATTGGCTGCCGCGGTCCAATTCATTGAGCGGCATCGAGAGCTATGCTGAGCCCGAGCCACAGCGTCGCGGAATGGTAATCCAAGAGATACATGAAGAGGAACCGTCACATGATGCTGGAGCGGCTCGTCTACGTGACCTGCCAGCACGTCGGGTGCAGTCACGACGGGCCGCAGCTGCTGCCTCCAGAGCACCCGTTAAACGTGTCAGCCGAGCCCCGGATTTGGAGGCTCCCGTTTCTGGCACGCAAGGGGTGCGAGCGCGTCGCAGGCTGCGCGAGCCCACACCCGACGTGGATGTGGAGAACGACTAAGTGCGACGCCGGTACTAGGCTGGCCTGCACCAATAGATACTCAGCGAATGATCGAATTTTATACACTCAGCGATACCCCGCACATATGTACACATAGCATCTAATCCCAGTCGCCAGCTGGAAGCTTTTTGATTTCTGTTCACGCACATGTATATGATTACTCCTCCTTCCATGTTTCTGATTATTTCTATGTATGTTTACGCTTTAGCTTCGATAAGTCTGTAGTTTAATTAAATTATTTAAATGCCAACTGCTTGTGTTCAACGTACTCTCTCTCTCTGTGCTATAATCCTATAATCCCATCAAAGGGCGGCGGCAATCTGGTGCAGACGATCAAGAGGAGCTACAGCCTCAGCGATCTGAGCGAGCCAGATATGCACCGCACCCAAGACGAGCTGGACGAGGTGATGAGATCGTCCATGTCCTCGTCGGTGGTGATGCGCCAACAGCCAACTGTAACGCGTCTCCTGCGGCCACGCAACCACACGCCCGTCGGCAGATCCGCCAGCGGCACGCGTCACTCCACCGGGATGTACTTCACCGAGGTTGATCTGACCGCCAAGAATGCGGGTGACTTCAAGTGAGTGCTGAAATCGTCAACCCATCTGATATACAGCATAATTTTCCTGGTTATCTGTTCTGTTTCCATTTAGCTACAACATACGCAGCCAGGATGACATCAGCTCTGGCTACTCCAGTGCCGAGCCTCTTAGTGGACTGAGTCGCACATCCTCCATGACAAATGCTTCCAAGGGCCGTGTCAAGTCAAAGCGCAATGAGGTAGGCATGATGTGTGTCTTTTTATCCATGACAATTTTAATCCATCTAGAGATTGGTGTTGGTTAGCTGTTGCTGGAGGAGATGAGGGACGAGGTTTATTTGGAGAATCAACTATACTTTCAAGGTGTGCGGCAGGAAAGGCCAGAAGAATTAAAGGGTTTTGACAATGTGGAGAGGATAACACACCACGAAGTTGATGAGGAGCTAGAGGATGCAGATGCAGATGAGGATGACTTCTATGAAGCCATGCCGTTGGTGGATGCAGATGAAGAAGAGAAGGCTGCAGAACACGAAGTTCTGTCAAGCGATGTACCAAAGAAAGAAGATCCATTTGAAGGGGAACGTGTGCAAGCCCAAGATTCCATAAAGGATGAGGCATTGGAGCATTTTTTTCCAACTGTAACCAAGACAAAAACGTTGCCAACAGATGTCCCTGTTCGATCGAATGAACCAATGACATCTACCAAGAGCAAACTGACAGATGAACTAGCATCCGTCATAGATCCTTTTGTGCTGGTGGTACGCTCCCCAACCACAGATACAGATATAGAACCGTCCGATCAATCGGGGCCAGTGTCGCCACGGGAACTTCTCGCCACCTTGGAGGAGATCAAGCACAGCTTTCGGGCCCAACTGGAGCCAGAGGTACAGATGTCACCATCTCCCTCCCCTCGCTGCGTCCCAGGGCCGTGCACGGTAAGGGACGAGCTCCGCCGCCTCCGCTGCCAGCCAAGCGGCACTCGCTGAGTCCCCAGCCGGATGCCATTAGCCAGACATCGACGGGCAGTGTGGAGCGCAAGTCAGGTATCGGCCAACTGTTCCAGAATATCAAAGCTAATGTGCTGCGTAACAAAGCTAATCCCAGCCAGCAGGCAGCCTCCATGCCGGACGAGCCACTGGCGGTCAGAGAGACGGAGATCTAAAGTAAGCCCTGCCGGGAGTCCGTTCTAATCCAAGCTCATCCAAGTGTTCGTTTTGCTCGTTCATCGCTGGGCGGCCTGTCAGCTCCTAACCTCCATGGCCCCTGCCACTTGTCCCCTTTGTACAGTTGCGTTACTAACCATCGATTTCAGCATGTTTTTTAGATTGTTTCCCGTGATCCCATCACAATTTAGAAATTAAATATCTCTCTGCTCCCTTGTTGCAGGACAAATCTATGTCTACTAGCTGCACCACCTTGCCCAGGACCAGCAGCCGCAGGACTGAAAAATCCCAGATGGGAACGGGAACATCAACTTCTAGCCAGGCCAAGACGCGAAACAAGTCGGAGAAGTAGATGCAAGACAGACGGAGGATCTATGTATTTTGTGTGTATTCATCTGCTGCTCAATATGGCTACTGGATATGATGGATTTTAGATGGCGTCGTGCAAGCGTACAGAACCTCAAGATTTAGTTTAAATTGTAACTTAATACTGATCTATTGATACTGATAGCTCTATATACATATGCATTGTGTACTTTGTTTGTGATTCTATTCGAGTTCCAGGTGCGCTCTAGTTGATATTCAATGTTCATTTCACGACTCGTTTGGCGTTAAGTGTGTATCCTAGCAGCCCCCCCTATCCAATCCAACCAATGTTCTAACCAAAACAAACCGAAAGCAGAATCGGAAACCTATCAATTTGTAGCATAAATTCCTAATAATGTAATTGATTGAGCATTCAATAATAAAACATAAAAAAAAAAACAAAAACCTACCAAACCAAACCACACCGACAAAGACAGAGTTGTTCTGGCTGATCTTCACGACCGTCGCGAGTAACCCTGGCTAAATGGCGCGTTTACTAGATGTTTCCCCGCGCTTCTTTCTGCACAAAGAAATCATGCGAAACCGGCTTAGGCAACGCACACCACCAACAGAGGCGTCGTTTCCCAAACTCCATGAGCCAAGAAACTTCTTTTACACATGCGCGCAGCAGCTGATGCGCGGAGAGCCTGACCTTGACCCTCAATCACAGTCGCCCGGGCGACCAAACCAGACAATACTTGTTGCTAAGTGCAGCAGCATGGCAGCGGAGTTGAAGTTTCGCACTCGTCCCCCCGCGACGCCACAACACATATCATGCTTGTTCATACTCTCTCTCTCTCTCTCTCTTTAAACCAACAGACCCCTCTATATGTATATGTATGTATGTATGTGTCGTTGTCGCCGCCTGCGAGTTTTCACCATTAGCAGCACACGGCGACGACTGTACTTTGCTGCGAGATATTCACTTAATGTGTGTATGTATGTATGCCCCTCCACTTGCGTGCCAGTGTGTGTGTGCGTGTACTTGTACATAAAATGCACAAGGAAACGGCGCAAAGAAAGCAGAAAACACACACACACACACTCGAAGACAATGGTCGATTTTTGCCGGGCGGCTGGCACACTCTTCCTCCAAAAGCTGAGTCAGAGATCGGGACAGACAGGGCTCCCATCAGCTGCCCGCGCCATGTGTTCGCTCACAGCTGCAATTTTACCGGCACCACACCGAAAACTGGTTGCCCACGAAACAAAGAAAAGAGCAGAAGAGCAACGAAAGAGATCAAAAGAGAACCGATGATGAGAGATTGGCCCCCGCCCGGCCCCAACAATCCGCTGAAAAAAAAGTAACATAAAGAATAAATAAGCAAAGACGACACATGGCATGGGATTATTTTTTTTGTCTCAAATCAGCAGCTCCAGCATTTTAATTTACAATTAAAAAACAATCACAGTGATATTTGAATTTTCATTTTCTTCATCGTAGGTTTCGCATCTCTCGTAGGTGTCTCGTTACAACTGAAAGTGTATTACAACTGGGGCTCTCTGTACTGTGTGTTCTTCTCATCGGCTCGTCGTCGTCGTCCATCTCCTCCAGTGTCTCTTTCTACCATCGCTGATGTGCTCCTCCTCTTGTGTCTTCTGTTCTTGTTTGCTGCCCCTCCGGCTTAGCTAGCTCCGCTTGTACCCCGCTCGAGATCTTGCCGGGCGAGTTTCGTCTTGCTTGGGAATTGGTGTGGTTTGGTGATTCTCTGGTGGTGGTGTGGATGGTGATGGGTGTGCTGATGGTGGTGGTGGTAAAGGTAGGTTGGTAGGCAGACTGTTTGGGTATACTATATCATCATCATCATGTGTATAATAATTCCTAAGGCTCGCCGGCAGCAGCTGGATGGAGTAGTAACGTGGTCTCTTCGCTTGCTTCTTTGCTTTTGTTTTTTATACTTTTTATTTATTTTTTCTTCTGGTGTGGAACTCCTAATAGGATCGCTTTATAGTATTTTTAAGGTATTTATATATTCTTATATAGTTTTCATTCCATTCGTTATAATGTAATTAGTAAATTCAAACACTTTTTCGCAGCATAATCATACATAATTATAATAAAGTGGTTGGTTGTTGTTGGTTTTGCTTGTTGTTTGGGGTTTAGTCTCATCTTACAAATTGGGTCGCATCGACGTCGTCGTCTTCTTCTTCTTCTTCATCATCATCGTCTGCTTGGCTGCACAGCTGCCGTTGCTATCGTCGTCTCCGCCGTCTCTTACCCCGCGTCTCCTGTGCTCTCCTTTCCTTTCTTTTCTCGATCCGATCCTCTTCTGCTTCAGCTCCTCGTTTTCGTTCATCTTCGTCGGCTGGGTGGTTCTTCTTCTACTTTCTCAAAAGTTTCTTCTTCATATTTTGGAACGTTGGCACCGCGCTGCAGGCTCAGCTTTTGGAATCAGAGATGCAAGAGTGTTGGTTGTTGGTTCATTCTTGGATAGATGATGGTTAGATTGAGGTGCCTCCTATATCTGTAGGTGTGAGTGTGTTTGTGTGTGTGATGGGAGCTTGTGTAGTTGTGTTTTTGGGGTGGTGGTGCTGTTGGTTGGGGGTTGATCTTGACTTGGGTGCTGCTGTCGCTTGTTGTTGTTGGCTGGCTTTGTGAATGTTGTAGCAAATTGATTTTTCATTTTTGTAATTTTTTTCGTGTTTAAATTTTCTTCTTCTTCGATGATGTTCAAGTTGAAGCGCGGTACTGGGTCTTCTCCTAGTTCCGTCCGCCCTTCTCATCGCACTCGCGTCTCAGATGTCCGCTCTTGCCGCAGCCATAGCAAGTTTTCGATGTCTCCGGGCAGTTCTTGGAGATGTGTCCAGTGCGGTTGCACTTGTAGCACGACACATTGGCCGGGCCGCGCTCGTTCACGGCCTCGGGACAGTTGCGAACCCAGTGGCCAGTCTTGTTGCACCGGTAGCAGGTCGGGTTGTCGGCCTGGGTGCAGTCCTTCGAGATGTGGCCAATGCCGTTGCAGCGGTAGCAACGCTCAGCCTCCTCAGGGCAGGCACGTGCAAAGTGCCCAAATTGGTTGCATTTGTAGCACTTCTCGCGGTTGCGGCGCATGCCGCCGCCATCGCCGCCACGCATACCACCACCACCTGGTCCGCCGCCTCCTGGCCCACCGCCACCGAGACTGCAGTCCCGGGCAAAGTGGCCCGGCCGGTTACACTTGTAGCACGTGGCAGACATCGACATTGTACTGGATTGGAACTTGGTTATTTGTACAAGTTAAACACTTCTGGTCTTTGACACACACGTTGCCTGCTCGAGGACTACAAACTGCTTGCGTTAAATGCGAAAAACCACAGGGTCCGGGCCAATTTCCTCGCCGTATTTTCGACGCCAAAAATTAAAATGGCTACCACAGAACTAGTACAATGGCATCGACGGCACAAGTATCGAGTATGAAAAAACCAATCAGAGTTGCTTTGACATGCAAAAATTGCAACACTGAAACTCCACGCGGTTGGCTCTGCAAACACTGGTTCGAGATGTTCTCGTTTCGGGATGAAATCGAGAACTGAGCATATATTGAGCTCTGTGGTTGAAACTGCCTGCTACGTTTCTGTCGAATGTAGCTTGGATTTTTCAAATGTACATTTTCAGTTGTATATTGACCTCTTTGACACTAATATTTATGACCAACTTAACTAATGACCCAGTTTAACCTTGCACATTATTGCTTTCAGCCCAATGTGCCCATGTCAATTCGTTGTGATGACAGTAGAATATCGATTGTAACATTGAGGGCACGCCAACCGGCTTGCATTGAAAATAGTGCGAAAAACCTAGAATAGAAGATAACAGATTAGAAAACATACTACCTATTTTTTTGTATATAGCACTTTGTACTTGTATTTGTGTTAATCTCTACACTAATATCGAGTACTAACGTTCGTGCAGTATCGGCTGCCAAAATACTCGATAGTAATTTTGACAGTTGTCAAAATCGCCAATACTAGCCCATCGGCTCGGCTGTTTGTGCAATCGATAGTTTTTGTAGTGCAATGAAAATTAGTAGTTTGTTTTTGCAACAAACATTTATGTTAGTTATGCGTCTGTGTCCAAAATGTTGATTGTTTGGTTAGTGATTGCCTCCACCTTGAGCCGATGCATCCGAGCCACCACCACGATTTCGATACCCATCACAACACAGGACATAATTGCGGGTGACGTATTTTTTGAAATCACATCGCCGCAAGACCTGGAATATACGTACAGATTACGGCCGGCGAAAGATTTCGGCATTACCTTCTCGGAGAAGTTCGAGGGCATCCCTCTGGTGCTGACTGATCCGCCAGACGCCTGCCAGAAGCTGCGCAACACACGTGATCTTCATGGAAGTATCGCACTCATGGACAGGGGGTAAGCGGATGGAATTGATAAGATTTGACTACAGTTTTATCTAACAGAATTCAATGTGCGTGGCACTTACAGGGAGTGCTCCTTCCTCACCAAGACCCTGCAGGCGGAGATGGCCGGGGCGGTGGGCGCCATCATTACCGAGTACAATCCGAACTCGCCAGAATTCGAGCACTACATCGAGATGATCCACGACAACTCCAATCGAGATGCTTCGATACCCGCGGGCTTCCTGCTGGGGAAGAACGGCGTGATAATACGGTCCACGCTGCAGCGACTGAAGCGGGTGCATGCCCTCATAAATATACCAGTAAACCTGACCTTCACCCCGCCATCGAAAATCAATCACCCGCCGTGGCTCGGATGGTGACTGGACCCGGAATGATGCCGGAAGGACCCAGCAGAGGCACACACACACACACACACACGCGATCTAAAACCAAAGTGCATACTTAGTCAGTACTGAAGCAGCGATAGTAACTAAAAATGAGACTAAGCTTATAGTTTTACCATAAGTAGCTAAATCGTAACTGGAGGCAGAACCAAATCGTAAATTGTAAATAAATTGCCAGGTGGCAGGCAAGTCAGAAAGTTTTAAGCTAGACAAATACCATAAATCTTTATTAAACGTATGCGCATGCACATGTACTCCATGTAGATTAGATCTTGCCCAGGGCCGTGAGATTCAGGCACATGCCCAGTGTGAGTATGACTATGACGACGACGAGGATAGCAAAGCATAGGTAGTTCGGTTGGATGGGCATGCGGAAGAGCTTGGCGGACATGTCCAGCGACGAGGCAAAGAGCAGGGTCGAGTTGAGATCTTCAGCGGAGGTATTGTGGTAGACGAATGGACGCACTCGGATTTGGTGGCCATTGGCCTGGGCGCTCTGGCAGACACGGGTCACCGAGGACGCCACGAAGAAGGGCAGCAGGCCAAGGAACAGCCACAGCATAACATTGGCGATATTCAGCAGGACCAGCTGCAAGGCACAGAAGTGGAAATCGAAGTCCTTGAACAGATAGACCATCCCGGCGAAGGCATAGGACAGATTCATCACAACCAGAAAGCACACGGGCACGGACACGTGCTGGTTAAGACGATCCAGGAGCTTGCGGAACTCCAGCACCTCCCGCATCCAGTCCAGCGAATCGATGGAGTGCATCAGTAGTTTGTGCGACAACGACTCCAGGTGAACCTTCAGCAAGTAGCACTCGATGTAGTAGTTGCTCAATATGACTATCTCCACCAGGTCCTGCAGCAGTATGGTGCACAGCAATCCAGTGCGCAGGCACAGCTCCCAGTCGCTCAGGGCGTCGGCTAGCCACGACACCTTGATGATCTGAGCGGGCTGCATTACCACCACAGCGCAAGCGTAGGCAAAGAGCAGCACCAGGAGGGCCAGGGCCAGTCCCAAATACAGCCACAACATCCGACACAGTCTCTTGGGTTTGGCGGACATCAGGAATACCCGCTCTATGAGGTTCTGCAGCTGCTCGTGGTCGATGACCTTGCACACTAGCACCGCAGCCACAAAAGCCAGCAGGTTGAAGGCACTCGGCACCACATAACCAAAGAGCAGCTCGCCGATGGTGTTTGGTGTGGCCATACCGCCATCTGTGCTGTTGCTAATGGGTTGTATATCCCTGTAGCTGGTAAAGCCGCGATCGCCCCTGGAAAAAACAGGATTAGCTGGAGCACGCTTTGATATACCATTATACTCACCTGTAGCCACACATGTAGCGCAGGACATAGCCCACCAGCAGGATAAAGAGCACCATCAGGGCCTGAACATAGCTACAGCAGGCCCTCACATTGCTCATGTCCGTCGAGATGGGGTTGAGGCCGACCAGCGTCAAGATCGTGACATAGGGACGCAGAAACTGTTGCCGAATTAAAGATTATCAAACGATCGTCTAGTTGGTTAATTGCTGTGGATGGCATCACCTTTCGCTTGCAGTAGTCCAGCAGGGCGGAGGTCGGCTCGTGTTCCCCGGGCTGCTGCAGGTCATCGTTGGGATTCCCGTTGAGGCGATTGATGAAACAGAAAGAGCTGTCCGCATTATTGCGATACATGACAGACGGGCAGAAGGGAGAGTATCACATACAACAGGAACAGTAACAATAACAATAACAATAACAGTAACAGTAACAAACAAGAGAGTAATGCACAAACACTCATAACGCGGGAAGGGTGTGGTGTGGGTGTTGGATGTTGGATAGAGAGAAATCACAATGGAGAGATGATCGCCGGCCCGCGGTTGAGCCACTACTGAGAGCAGCCCCGACACTTACGAGCTCGTCGTGCAGCCAGGATGAAGCGACTGAGGTGGCGCGACTGCTCCAAAGCTCCTCCTCTGTTGTGGCTGCTGCTGCTGTTGCTGTGCTCGTCGGCGTCGTCATCAATTGCAACTGTAACGGTAAATTGAATAAATTGAAACTCGAGCCCCAAACGGCACGGTACGGTACACACGCACACACACACACACTCGTAGCCCAAAGGGGAGAGACAGAGAGAGAGAGAGAGAAACAGTAATAATCACAATCGAGATGACAAAAAAACGAAGCTTTCCTGCCCCCAAGCTCTCTTCGAGCTTTGTGTGTACGTTCTCGCTAGCATTCTCCTCCCGCTCTCTCCAGCCACCCATCCCCCACATACACCCCCTTATCAATCAGTTTTATCTCGGGGGCCCAACGGCTCCAGCCTGCTCCAGTCTGCTGGGCACCTGTTACAGTTTAGATAGGAATCAGCCCTGTTATCGCCGAGCACTATCAACCGGGCACTATAATTTGCATATATGTACACGAGTATGTTGCTGGGATTCCATATCTCAAGTATGTGCATACATACATATGTATGTAATTGCTATATACATAGCTGTTTGTAAAACGATTCTATTATCGCGTGTCTAGACTCTAGAGCGAGTGTTTTCCTTTGTTACGTTTTCGCCTGATCGTGTTGCCGTTCGTGATATCGCGCTTTTGCCTTCCAAGCTCAGGGAAGGGAGAAAGATGCTGATTATGCTATTGTTTTCGTCTTCGCTTTCGTGTTATCTAAAGAGAGTGTGACGTAGACTCTAAAAATGCAGTAGGAGAGAGTGTCTGGTTGCTGCCAGCGCCCTCTCTCTCCCTTGCGATTTTGTGATAAGAAAGACTGATAAGATCGCTTGGAAGTTGGGCCTGGATGGGTTTGCAGTCTGAGCTTCGTGGATTTGGAAGCTGTCAGAATTGCCAGCCTATTAAAGGGAATTGAGACAGAGAATTAATCTTTAAATTCGAAAAATATGAGCGGAAATATAATTAAATAAGAATTAATATTTTCTAATATATATCCGTTGTAATTATCGCTTCATTTGACTATAATTATAGAATTATTCGCTAAAAAGACAGTCGAATCTTAAGCTGCACTACATTGTTGCCACACAAATTCCATTCAACTTATTCGCAAGCTGTTGAAACACACACAATAAGTCAATAATAAGAAGGTGTTTGCTTATCGTATCCAATCATTAATGGTAACCAGAAATACTGAAAGCGATTCGGAAACACTTGCGATCTGTGTAAACACTGGGCTGATCTTTTACAAATCCCATTAGAGTAGAACATTTCGGAAACAGCTTCAGGGGAAGAACTCAATTTGTGGAATCTCGACAGATTAGGCTCTCTATTGATATTCGCCTTCCACTGATACTCCATGGCGTTTCCCAAATGAGTAATGTCTTGTCTTTGCGCACTTGGCCCTTCGTTGCCTTTCTTTGGGTAACCACCTCGTGGTTCCTCATCTCTTTACATGGTTCACTGTCGTGTAAGTGAATATTTTAGTCGCTTTAACTTTTACCTCCCTTTCTTACCTGTTACCCTGTCGCTCCGTCCACTTTCTCACCTCTCTCCCTCCTTGTAGGTAATAAAGTTTCGAAATTTACGTCGAAAGTAATTAAATAAAATTGAACGCAAGTCGCAAGTGGTAAAAAAAGTTTTTTTGTTGTAGTCCCACTGAAGTCAGGCTCACTTAAAATGTTGTCCAACGATTTCACAATGAATCGAGGCGGATATATGGAGAGAGAGTGAGAGGGCTGAGTAGAGGGGGGTCGCAGTCCAGCGCAGTCCAGTTGCAGTACGAGTAGCCGTGTCATGACCTGGCCACAGTCTCGCCGCAGAGAGAAGCCGCAGGTTCGGTTCGGTTCAGTTCAGTTCCAGTGCCCAATGCTGACGTTGACGATGATATGTTCAGGGCTCAAAGCGGGATGTCCAGATACGAGTATACGTATCTGTCGCTTCCTGCTGACCTCCGGTACCCCTCCCTCTGGCACTACATACATATGTCCGCCTGTGGGGACACTCATGTAAATTAGCTGCGTTGTCAAATAATTCTGATTTGTGTTGTTGGGAGGGAGTGCTGCTGTTGTTGCTGGGATGCTAATAAAAGCCGAACCGTTATCGTCCAGCTTCTCCTCTTCCAACATGCCCCTCGTCAACATGACAGCCTCCTCTTGACCGCCAACGTTACCCGGACAGTGTCTCCTCCTCCTCCTCTCTGGCATGCAACCCGTTTCTCTAACTAAGCGTGTGGTGCCTTTTTTTTTTTGTTTCAAAAATCAAATCAAATATTACGAGGAAATTTCGAATGCGGTCGAATGCATAGGAAATTTTGTGCCTGCCACAACCGCAAAAACGCAAATGTTGACTCCATGCTGGAGCAGCAGCTGGACTTCGAAGGAGCAGGATACAAATCCAGGGCTGGCCGAGATGGTCTCAGCACACTGTCCATTGGGATGGCGCTGGACAGGCGTTAATGGAGTAACCGCGAATAATAAATGGGAAATAGTGATCCAGGCTGGGGGTCAGTGCATATAATATTAGTAGCAGTGGAAGATTTTGAAGAGATTATGAAATTTAAGATAACCTCCCCTGTTGGATGGATTTGTCATCGATATCGAGATTCCTCCATTTGTTACTCCAAGGGCAATTCATTTGCTGCCTTAAAGTTTTCATTTTATGGTGTTTGGCCCCATGCCGCAGTGTCAACAAGGAGATCAGAGATTGTGGGACGTGTCAAGTGTCCGAAATTCAATTAGACTTCATTAGCATTAGCAGCCGGTGGCAGTTAGTTCTCTGCAGGTTGGGGTACCCACTCCCACTCCCGCTCCCCCTACTCCTACTCCTACTCCTCTATCCCACTCTTCTCTTGCGGTTTTGTCTCTCTGTGTGTGTGTGTATGTGTGCGTGTACACACCGTTTGGAGATTAGCATAAATGAGATCATTAAAATGCGCTTACGTTTGTGTCGGTGGTTGGGTCAGTGCCAGAGTGCAGACATAGGGAGAGAGCTTCTGAGGTCCACCTGGGGATGGAGGGATGGGGGCTTGGGAGCGTCACGACTTCCTCCTTTCGCACGTAGCCCGCAAATGGCATTCGTCGTTTGCACTCCTGTCCTACGAAGGTGTCACGGCTGTTGGTTCGTGTCTCCGCTGGGCGGTCCAAGAATTTGCATAATTATTTCGACATCTTTTGCCCGTTGTATTCCACACCCCTCCCCTCCCTCCAGCGACTCAGCTGTCACCAGAAATAGTTTTCTCTCTGCTCCACAAATTGCTCATTACATTTAGTATGATGAGGCAGTCGGGTTGGAAATAGAGGGCGGAGTTGGT